GGGGGCAGCCCTGGAGCAGCGGGTGGTTGCCTTTTTTTCTCTTGAGGATCTGGTTGAGGAGTGGGTGCTCAACAGGTGTAGGATCCACAACAGGGAAAGATTTGCCTGTCGAGTTTCTGACCCAACAAGCGACGGCTAACAGCCCATGAGAGTGGCAGCCTGGGTTCTGCGTACTGTAATCTGTTGTTGTCTCTTTCGTTACCATCGCTATGCAATGCCTCTTTACCGCAATAAACATTTATCACAGAGGTCACTTTTTGGGTCCATTTCAATAGGGATGTTCTCATAACAAAATACGTTAAAATGTCAGATCATGGGAATAGTGCAGGAATATGATCCATATCCTCCTTTTTCTTTTTGCACAGCACTATAGGTAAAAAAGAAAAGTAAAGAACAACAACAGCAACAAAGGAGAAAAACATGGCGGCACCTTAAAGACTAACTTATATTTTTTAACTTGAGCGTTCATGGACAAGTCTACTTCGTTGGACATAACTTCTTGCAGACATTGTGGAACAGCATCTGGAAAGTCAGAAATTTATGAAATGAGGGAAATGTAAGGGCAAAACGTTTGGACTGTATTTTTGGGGGCTACTCTTGTGGTTTTTTTAAAAAAGTTTTTTTTAGCTTTTTCTGGTACCAGTTCTTTCAGAAAGCCTGAAAGGGACTGAATCTTTCAGGTCATACCATTCCAATTTTCCCATTTGGGTGCTTTTTGCTAGAGCACATTAAAACCCACAGAAGCCTCAAAACTTAAAAAAAAAAAAAGACAGGGATAGGGCAACAGACTGTCATCTACTCCAAAAGTGGACAATAAATGCAGTACTTGAAGTAAAAAGATCAGTCATCCCCAGAACTATGTAGCCACTAACACTACTTTAAAGTTCACATTTATTATCACATCAACATCCTCATCAATTCATCAGCAGAAAACCATACAGATGAAAAAGAGAAGCCATCATCATGATCAAAATCAAAACAGAAAACACACCTAGGGAATAAAATCCAACCCCAAAATAGAATATGGGTATTTGGGAGACAGCATTGTACATACTGGTTATAGCAAGATAGGGATGCCACAGAATTTGGCATTGTCCTTCAGAAATCTCCTTTCTAAATGTAAACCTTTTGCACAGCTCTGTACTTTCCATGCTCTCTTTCAAAGTTTAGTCCAAGCGTGTGTAATCAAATGAAAGTATCCTCCCCCTCACACCAGCATCCTCCCATTCCTCTTCTCTCACTTGTGCTGAATTTTAGCACATTGATGGTGCAATGCATATAATAACCCATTCACTATGCCAACACATTGCCGTTTTCAATTTCATCCTAATTTCAAACCTGTGCAATAGGACCCCTGTACGTATCTGCAGCATCAGTCATCCACAATTTACTGCAACCCTATATACAGCATACAAGGGGTCGGTCCTTGTGGCCTTTGTCTCGCCTCCTTGTATGTCGTATACAGTATAGGGTTTGCTACTGTCTGTGATGGATTGTTGAACAGATTCCCCCACAAATACAGAAGCCCTACTGTACAGTATAAAAAGAGAAAGTTCCTGAAAAGTAGATAAAAATCCTGAGGGACGTGAGATTTTATAGGGAACAGTTTAAACTATTCCCTATAAAAGGTTAAGTACTGTATAATTTTTTTCATAAATATAAGTTTATTGTAGGGATCATGGGTAGTAAAGAATAAGTTCAAGTGAAATTTCAGAATATTCCATGTAAACCAACCTAGTTAATTCCATATGGGGAGGAATTAGTGGAAGTAATATGATCAGTGCCTGATCCCACCCCCTGGGAAATTATTGGTATTTTAGCATACTCTCAGTAGAACGGAAGGCAATTTCAAGGAAACCTAGGGAATATTAAACATTAGTTAATATAATGAATTGTATTGTAAATCTTCTAGGTCAATTGCATTGATTTAAGATACTGTATATGGTTAAAGTATAGCATTATCCATAAATTGTCTTTCACAATTACATGTCGGAATATGGATAATTGGCAGAATGGGTTTGTCAATGATTAATTATAGGAGGCTGAATTAATATTTCGCTCCCTGATAAGGGTACATAGTATAAAGGACGTGCCATGTACCTAAAATTGGATATAACATTTCTCTTGGGAGAGCTAATGAAATGCATACTTGATGGAACTGCTGTCAGATGGCTACAGAATGGGATTAAAATTAAACAGTGTAATTATGCGTTGTGCAATGACTAGTTGAGAGGAGATGTCAAATGGGCTTCTGAAATGAATACCAGGGATCACTGATTCATTAGCAGCTTGGAAGGTAAAGTGGAGAATGCAGCAATCCAATATTAAAGTGATAAAAACCTAACATGGGTTACAGGTCTCATGAAGTGTAGGGAAAGAATAAGGTATGATCTGAACAAATTGAAGGATTTCTCAATATATAAAGCATCTCGTTAGAAAGAGATTTAATCAAGATCATGTAAATTGCTTCTTGTGAGATAGTAAAATGTGCAAATGCAGAACCAAGGCATGCTTGATAAAGTGTGAAGAGTAACAGAGAAAATGTGTGACGGCTATCCTAACTTAATTTGGCTCTGTTTAATATACGAGGTCTGGCAAGGAATACAAGATCTGGAACGTTCACACATCAGAAGCCATGTTCCTAGTTATTCAGCATAAATATAAAATAATTGTATTGTGTGGGATTGTTATCAGCCTCAATTCTTGTACAGGGCACATCATGTTTTACCTACACCAACGTCTTAGATTTTAAATCTAATAAAATCTCTTCAGCATTGGTCCTGCTATGCTGAATACCCAAGTACTTATACTAAAAGGTTTTCTATTCTGGTTTCTTATTCATATCTTTCATCTTACTGACCTTTAAATAATAGACTAAAAATCTTTAATATATTGTATTTACTTCAGCACAATCAACAGTTCATGGAATTGAATGCAATTTTTTAAAAAAGATACTAATTTCTTCCCGAAAGGGATTTTAAAAGTAAAAACAGGAGGTTTCAGCCACAGAGTAATTTTAGATATTACACCTGCAGTTCGAAAGACTTCCAGTGCTAATTAGGTTTGTCACATTTTTTTTCTATAGACACTGTAACTAGAGCATGTTAAAGAGGTGTAGTTTTGCAGCTCCTCACTGGAACCATGATAGTGGAACCAAACACTTTTAATACAGGCTGCAATCTTAGTACTTAACTGATTTATGCCTGCTTAAAAACTTGTGCATAGATGGAAGGTTTATGTGAACTTAAATCATAAAAGTAACACAAATGCTATCATAACAGTAATCCAAATCCAAATGCATAGTTATTGCCTGCAGAACGCAAATGGCATCACTCGCAGTGGCCTCTTGTTGGCAACTAACTAATCCCTGCCTGGATTTTTAGGTTTGTGTCTGCCTATTGGCTTGTTGTATGGCTGAAAATTCAAGCAGGGACTCATTAATTGCCAGTGAGAAGCTACTGTAAGTAGCAACATTAGCCTTTTGCAGGTGTAGCTACGCTTGTTGCTTAGCATAGAACGTTGCACTTGTGAAGGCTGAATGAATCAGTAGGAATTTGGTGAGTCAGCTCTACCGTAAATTCCATTGATTTATATGGGCCTACTCTAGTTGCTACTTAATTAAATCAAGTCATAAACTGGAACACATTCATTTGCAGCAATGGAATTTATGGAAGAGTTGACATATCAAATCCCCACTGATTGAATGGGCATACTCTAGTGCAACTGGTTGTTGTTTAGTCGTTAAGTTGTGTCTGACTCTTTGTGACCCCGTGGACCAGAGCATGCCAGGCCCTCCTATCTTCCACTGCCTCCCAGAGTTTGGTCAAACTCATGTTGGTAGCTTTGGTGACACTGTCCAACCATCTCGTCCTCTGTCATCCCCTTCTCCTCTTGCCTTCACACTTTCCCAGCATTAGGGTCTTTTCCAGAGAGTCTTCTCTTCTCATGAGATGGCCAAAGTATTGGAGCCTCAGCTTCAGCATCTGTCCTTCCATTGAGCACTCATGGTTGATTTCTTTCAAAATGGATAGGTTTGTTCTCTTTGCAGTCCAGGGGACTCTCAAGAGTCTCCTCCAGCACCACCATTCAAAAGCATCAATTCTTTGGCAGTCAACCTTCTTGATAGTCCAGCTCTCACTTCCATACATCTCTACTGGAAAAACCATAGCTTAGACTATGCGGACCTTTGTCGGCAAGGAGGTGTCTCTGCTTTTTACAATGCTGTCTAGGTTTGTCATTGCTTTCCTCCCCAGAAGCAGGCATCTTTTAATTTTGTGGCTGCTGTCACTATCTGCAATGATCATGGAGCCCAAGAAAGTAAAATCTGTCACTGCCTCCATATCT